GAACTTTCTAACCATAAACCAATAACACTCAGTAACACGTACCTTGCTGGTAGTTCATGTGGCTACATAAGATGATCATTATCATTATTGCCATCATTGTCATTATCTTCATAATCACAATGATGATGATGGCGATCTTGATGATTACATAATTTCCAACCATAATAATGATGATAATCGCATTAACCACAACCCAAATAATGAACATCGCATTAAAACGTATAACTACTTACACTCCACACACTTGTAGCGACTTACAATGTACACGTGCTATATGTTGTTGTTGTTGCTCGATTAAACTGTGTAAATGTGTTTGATGATCGAATTACAACAACGGGTATACAATTGTAATTTAATGTTGCTTATATAAATATAAAATAAACACAATCTACAATAATCAACATCTTTAGTAGGCTGCGGCGGCAGCTTCTGTTACCGATAAATGGAAATTGTACTTATAAATAATTTACAATGTGTGTGTGTGTGAATTGAACTATTTTCACTCAACCTCCTCCCCCACCTCACTGCCCTGAATGATAAACAAAAGAAAATCCCATTAAATGTGTAACAGTAAACAATTCCGACAAGTCGGCGTTGAATTGAATTTGAAGAAATTCCGTAACACATAAAATTGCTAAGACTATGTTAAGCATTTGGCGGATATTAGGCAATATTTTTAATAAGTTTGAAATAATAAGCGCAGAATCAGTTAAATGCTTTTTTATCAAATTGTTGGTTACAGAAAATAGCATAAACATTGCAATAAGATCACCCCACAATTTTCGCGTCTTAAAAAATAAGAAATATCCTTGATGGATTCCTTAATAGAGCATTAAAATATTAGTAATGAGCTCTTCCGAACTCCAATGTGAATTTAGAATATTTGGAATAAGCGAGCGTTAGAAGAATTTAAATTGACGATAGGTATTTAAGAAGCGGGATCAAAGAAGGTTGGAAGTTGGAATTTTGAAAATTTGTATTGGATGGAGATAAAATTTTGAAATTCGATATTTAAAATGCTGTGTGTTGGATATGGAGATGGTTTTGGAAACGTGTACTACAATAATTGTTCGAAAAGTACTAAATAGTACAAAACTAGCATCACTATTGATGTGAGGATGGAGAAATTTAGATTATTTTGATAAGCGTATTAAAAATTAAAATATTTGGTATTAGGTGATGGGATAAAGCTGAAATTCTGAGATTTGATACTGAGATCACTGTTTGTTTCTAGGGTTTACATATGGCGACGTTGAAATAGCTTTGGACAGACAATTGGATCTGCGCAATGGTTTTCTTATATCCTTCCCGGTAAATTTCAAAATTAAATATTTTAAAGTTTTTTTTTGGTGTAAAAGGTAAAAATATGCTATTATTCTTTTCGAAGAAGGAAAAACTTGAAAAATATATAAAACTTTTAAAGTCTAAAAATTTATATCAATCTATGATGTTCCGATTAAAAAATGTTTGTTAAACTGATCAAATTTTGCATTTTTCGGTTTTTAAAAATATTTTATAAAAAATAATGGGCCAATAGTGTATTTTTCAAAACATTTGTCATAAAATTTTCGTACCAGAATCGTTGGTCCTGATCCACATCCTTAACTTTTTGGACAGATATTTGGTATATACTGAAAATATAAGTGTACTAAAAATCATGGAACATAGTCCCTTTTCTGTTGTCTCCGATTTCTATGCATTTCAAAAGCAAACATAGCAGGGAATAGTAATTTCTCGAAAAATATTATAGGTAAAGGGTTTATTTTAAGAAGTTGGTAGGATTATTGTCTTTGAGAAGCATATTATCTCTGGTGGTAACATTTAGTGGCGTGGGCCTTTCACGCCAGTTAATGCCCCTTATGTTGTAGAAAACTAAACGACCTGTCTTTGCAAGACTCTTAACAATGGAAAAATCATAAACATTTGATAGAAAATTTGACATGAACACATTTATTTGTATACCCTACACCACAAGGTGGTCAGGGTATTATGTCTTTGTGCATTTATTTGTAACAGGCAAAAGGAAACGAGATAGACCCATAGTTCCTTTTGATGATCTGCATAGAATCAAATACTGAGTCGATTTATGCATGTCCGTCCGTCCGTCTGTCCATGTATTTTTGTAAACAAAGTACATTTTGCATTTATTGCCCTATCCAGATAAAATTTTGCACAAATCATTTGTTTGGCCCAAGGACGAACCCTATTGAAATTGGAGATAATCGGTCAAAATCCCATATATATCTTCGTCCGATTTGCCTTTTATTGTGCACCAAACGTGTAATATCAGCCCGAATAGTATGGAATTTTGCACGTACTATCAGATTGGACCTGAAAATAAGTATGCCAAATTTGATCGAAATCGGTTCAGATATAGCTATAGCTCCCATATATATTGTTCATCCGATTTGTTATTTTTGTCCTCCGAAGCCGTAATATGCACTCTGTAACAACAATATTTGGGAAATATATCAAATACAGTTCAGAATCACATTTGCTAAATTTTATAGAGATCGGTTCAGATTTGGATATAGCTCCCATATATAACTTCGTCCGATTTACCTTTTATTGTGCACCAAATGTTTAATTTTTGCCCAAATAGAATGGAATTTGGTCGGGCGGGGCCGACTATATGATACCCTACACCACTATGCATATTTTGTAGAGCTCTCGTAAAAATGTTTATACAGGGCATTTCAGAGCTCTATGAGATATTTGGTACAAAATAAAAATCTTTCTAATTCTGTCGTGCATTTTACGAAGTATAGCTATCTCTGAACCGGGTTCCTCCAAATTTGACGTATTAGCTTTTAGACTGAATTCTGTCTTATGTACGAAAATTCAGGTGATTTGGGCTGATATTGACCATTTAGTGCACATTTAACCCGAAATCGGATGAAGATATATATGGGAGCTATATCCAAATCTGAACCGATTTCGATAAAATTTAAAACAGCTATTCCTGTGCTCCATCTTATACCTGGTACCAAATATCACGGTTGTGGAGTGAATATTACGAATGTAAGGGACTAAAACACTAAATCTGATGAAACATATATATAGCAACCATGTATATGTTGTATCTGAACCGATTTTCACTAAATTTGATATACTTGCTTCTAGGCTGAATTTGGTCCGATGTACTAAAATTCAGTCCATTTGGACTTATATCGGTCATTTGGTGCACAATTAACCCGAAATCGGATGAAGATATATATGGGAGCTAAATCCAAATCTGAACCGATTTCGATAAAATTACAAACAGCTATTTCTGGGCTGTATCTTATATCTGGTACCAAATATCATTCTTGTGGAGTGCATATTACGAATGTGAGAGGCTTAAACACCAAATCGGATAAAACATATATATGGGAGCTATAGCTGTTTCTGAACCGATTTTCTCCAAATTTGTTGCATTTGCTTTAAGGCTAATCTCGGTCACATGTGCCAAAATTCGGGCCATTTGGGCTGATATTGGCCTTTTGGTGGTCAATTAACCCGAAATCGGATGAAGATATATATGGGAGCTATATCCAAATCTGAGCCGATTTCGATAAAATTTAAAACAGCTATTTCTGTGCTCCATATAATACCTGGTACCAAATATCACGGTTGTGGAGTGCATAGTAGGAATGTGAGGGACTTAAAGTTCAAATCGGATGAAAGATATATATGGGAGCTATAGCTATATCTGAACCGATTTTCTCCAAATTTGATATACTTGCTTCTAGGCCGAACTCGGTTGGGTGTGCCAAAATTCAGGTAATTTGGACTGATAGTGGACATTTGGTGCACATTTAACCCGAAATCGGATGAAGATATATATGGGAGCTATATCTAAATTTGATCCGATTCTCACCAATTTCAATAGGGTTCGTCCTTGGGCCAAAAAAATATTGTTTGGAAAATTTCATCTCAATCGGATAATAAATGCGACCTGCATTTTGTTCACAAGAATACATGGACAGACGGACGGACAGACGGACTGACATGCATAAATCGACTCAGAAAGTGATTCTGTGAAGGTTCTCAAAAGTAACTATGGGTCTATCTCGTTTCCTTCTCCATGTTACAAACAAATGCACAAAGACATAATACCCTTACCACTATGTGGTGTAGGGTATAAAAATTCTACTACAGAGAGTTGAAAATGTCTTTAAAAAAAGGCTTAAAAATTTTTGAAAAGCTACGTTTTGGGATCCACAGAGAATGGCAGAATATTATCTGTGAAAATCCTAGTTTGGTAGGTATATTTATTTGAAATAACAGGTTAAAGAGTTTAAAAGACGTTAAATCATTTCTTTACTTCACGTTTTGTGATCCCAAGGGGAGGAATTTTTCCTGGAAAAAATGTTGTTCAAAAATCCTGGAGGACCTCTTCCAGTCCTCAAAAAAATTTTCGACCTATAATTTTTTTTAAATCTAATTCTAATCACTGTTCTTAGTATAAATTTATCATTAAAAAAAACTTTATACAAATATCTACAATAATTAAGCCAAATGCCTTATCGACTCTTCCTCTTTGATAAACTTATTCCACAAAAATTCTAGGACTAGGAAAATTATCTTAAAATATTTGTTGCTTCTTCTTTAAAAAACGTTTCTTCTGCAGTTCCTGAAAATATTCAGAAAAATGTTCGAAAATCTACTTTAAGAGTCAGCATTGGACATAATATTATAAATAGGTCACGTTAGTTATTGTTTCTGCCAAAATAAACAAGTTGTAAAAATGCATTTAAAAACCAAATCTAACAATCGAAATAAATTCCCTAAAAACGTCCAAAACCCCGTCGCCATGAAAAAGGATATTTTAAATAAATTTACTTATTGCCCAAACTCAAAATATTATTCGGTAAAAACTTGGACGCTTAATAATAATTACTCCCCCTAATGCCTTATAAACAAAAGACTTAAGACACAAACATGAAAGAAAACCTAAAATGTATATCAGAAAAATAAAAATTCCTCAAAAAACAACAACTGTGAATTTCAAAACTTACCATAAACTGGGGGACAATCCAAGAAAAAAACTGTGTACTAACACTTCACTACGAATATTAATCCTTATACCAAAGGACAATATGAAATTTCCTTTTTTTGTTTTGGTTTTTTTTTAACCAAAATATTTCATTAAATATTTGAAATTTCTTTTCGACAAATGTATATTTATTCTTCAGCTTTTCTGTTAAAATAAAAAAATCAAATTTATTCTTCACAATATTTCAATAGATTAGCGTTATTTTCAAACTGATTACAAATTGGAAAAACACACACACACACTTGCTGACTTGCTTACGCACACAAATGCACAATGAAAAAAGTTTCACTTTTTATTTGTTTGTTTTTTGTCGCATCAAATAAAGCAAGAAAATCAGTAGATGAGGCAAAAAGGCAAATAACAACAGCAACACAAACACAAAAAAAAATCAAGTTGAAGTATTTGAAGCTCCTAGAAATATGGATGGAGTTGATAATTGGGCGAGGTGAAGAGAGTGCGTTTCATACAAATAACACCACTCTGTCTGGTTGTTGCTTTGGATTGTTGTTGTCGTTGCAATTGATGCTGCCGGTGTCGATGTTGCATGTAACAAACTTGCTAAATAAGCATCATCATCGACGACGACGTCTTCTCCTTCATCACCACAGCAATGGCAACATCTAATACCGCAAAACGGACGAAAGGTTTTCTGGGCAAATCGACAAAAGGAAACGACAAATAATATTCCACCGTTGGGAGAGAGAGGGGGAACAAGACACTCGCACTCACTCACTCACTCACTTGCCACTTGATTGGTTGGTCTCATAAAACGTAACGCACTTTAGACACAATTGTATGTTTTGTAGGTTTGAGTGTATTTATTTTTTTTTTAATTTTTTATTTCGAACAAATTTTCAAATATTCAAAGTTTTAATTTGCCGGACAACGAAACGATTATTTTTGTTTTCAATTTCGAATGTTTTGCTTATTTCCGCTAAAAGCATCCGTTGCAGTCGATGTTCGTTTAAAAACTGAATTCGCGTTGCTTCTTCGCCAAACGAACAAGTTGTGTGCGGTGTGTGGCACAAAATGTTGCTGACATTGGCGCTGCCGCTGCCCATGTCAAACATAACGCTAACCGCACCGAGCGTACGCGTTATGCTTTTGGTAATGTTGTGTGACTTACCCTGCTGCTGAGACGAAGCTTGAACTGAGAGACCGATTATCATCGACCGATGTTTATTATCAACAACATTGCAATAAGCTTCGACGGGGCACACATATGTTGTTTCATTCGTAGTTTGGTTAACATAAATTTGACACTGTGGTTTCATTGCTTTTAATCTGAGCAACTGGAGATGTTAAGAGAAGCATAGATATTACGAGCGAGAGAGAGAGAGAGAGAGAGAGAAGTATAAGGCATGAAAACAAGTAGCATTCCACGTGAAGTAACATTAACGTGAAATCGAAAAGTCAAATCTCTGCTCATTTGGTAGAAGATTGTGGCAAAAATCTTCAAAACACCAAACAAAACAGGAGGTGACGTTATATCCAGAATGAAGTTGTAGTTAGAGTCAGAATAGAAGGCTATTGTTGGGGAAGATGATCGCAAAATATTTTGGGGTTGAAATTTAAAAAAAAAAAAAAAAACAAGTAAAAAAGCAGTAAGTTCGGCCGGGCCGAACTTTGAATACCCTCCACCATTTGGAACGAATTAGAAAATTTTCAAAAAATAAAATCCATTGAAAATTCTGTTAAAATCTTTAAAATACCTAATATAGGAAGGTGCCGATATATGGGGGGATATACGATATTGTGGACCTATAAAGACAAATCTATGTCTGCGTGTAAAGTACTCACAAGGAACTCCATGTGTGGATTTTCAGGCAATACGATTGGAAAATGAGGCTAAAATCATCAAAATACCGAATATCGCGGGGTACCGTTATATGGGGGCTATACGATATTGTGGACCTATATAGAGAATTCTCTGTCGGGGGTAAAGTGCTCACAAAGAACCCCTTGTGTACAAAGAATCCCTTATGACCATTCCGTTGAAAAATATGGCTAAAAACATCAAAATATCGAATATCGAGGGTACCGTTATATAAGGGCTATACGATATCGTGGACCTATATAGACAATTCTCTGTCGAGGTATAAAGTACTCACAAGGAACTCCTTGTGTAGATTTTCAGACAATTCCGATACAAAATGTGGGTAAAATCATAAAAATACCGAATATCGGGGGGTACCGTTACATGGGGGATATACGATATCGTGGACCTGTATAGACAATTCTCTCTCAGGGGGTGAAGTGCCAAATATCGGGGGTACCGTTATATGGGGGCTATACGATATCGTGGACCTATATAGATAATTCTCTGCCGAGGTATAAAGTACCCACAAGGAACTACTTGTGTGGATTTTCAGACAGTTCCATTGAAAAATGTGGCTAAAATCATCAAAATACCGAATATCGGGGGTACCGTTATATGGGGGCTATACGATATTGTGGACCGATATACCCCATCTTCGAACTTGACCTGCCTGCAGACAAAAGAGAGATCTGTGCAAAATGTTAGCTTCCTATCTTAATTCGTTTAGACTGTAGCGTGATTACAACAGACGGACAGACGGACGGACAGGGCTAAATCGTCTTAGTTTTACGCTGATCAAGAATATATATACTTTGTTGGGTCTTAAATGATTATTTCGACGAGTTACAAACGGAACGACGAACTTAATATACCCTCCATACTTTTTTTGGTGGAGGGTATAAAAAATTTCCTGATTTTATTTTTTATAAGACACAGAAGCATAGTCATCGGATAATATTTAGAAATACCAAAATTTTCACAAGCCACCAATATTTTTAATCCCATCAAAATTACAAATACTTGAAAAAGTCACCTATATTGATGCTTGAAATTCATACAAGAACGGTACGAAAAGTTTTAAAAGGTACAAAATATGGATTTGAAGAAGCAGTAGAGGTAAAACTCTTAAATTTGGAATGAGGTTTACTGATGGAGTGTAAAACGTGAAATTTGGAATGGGAATACATTTTGAGGAGGAGAGTCAAGGTACGGAGGTAGTTTTGGAAGTGTGTACTCATGTATACGAAAAGTACTAAACGGTACTACATTTGGTACAATTTGAATTTGGAGGAACAGATGGATCTGGAATCCTGAAATTTAAAATTAACATTAGTGCCACAGTGGATTGGGATATAGAGGAAATTTTCGAAATTTGTACTTATGTGCACGAAAAGTGTTAAATGGTTCTAAATTTGGTACGATTTCGATTTGGGTGATCCCTAAATCTGAAATTTAGAAATAAGATTACTATTGCATTCTAGAACTGAGGAATGTAAGTAGTTTTGGAAATCGTACTTATGTGTACTAGATGGTATTAAATTTGGTACAATTTAAATTTTGGATGAACCGGTAGCGTTGGAATCCTGAAATTTGAAAAAATATTTAAATTGGGCTGTATGATGAGGTACTTATAAAAATTTGGTACTTAATTAATTTGGTACAATTTGGATTTGGGTAAATAGAGCTGAAATGCAAAAAATTTGGATATAGGAATACTGTGGGAGTGTAGGATTAAGGGAATGTAGGAAGCTTTGGAAATTTGTATTTATGTGTACTAAATGGTACTAACTTTGGTACAAATTGCAATTTTTATGAACCGATGGAGCTAAAATTCTGAAATTTAGAATGAGAGTCAATGATGGAGGGTAGGATAGATGCACCAATGTGTTATTGGAAATTCGAACTTTACGTTTAGGAAATGTTCCAAAATGTTACTAAACTTCTAAAATGGTATAATTTGGTATTATGTAAATGGATAAAGCTAAAAACTGAAATATGCTTTCCGAATCATGGTTGGAAATTAAGTTTCATATATAAAGGTGAATTTGAAAATGTGTTTTAATTGTGGGTACTTTATTAAATAACACTAAATTTGGAACTGTTTAGTTTAGAGTAAACAGATAAAGCTGAAATTTAGAAAAATTTGTGGGGTCCCTGTCCATGGTAAATTTGTGATAGATAGGTGGTTTTGGAAATGTTTACTACAAGTGCACGAAAAGTACTGAATAGTACTATATTTGGAATTTGGTGAACATATAGTACTTGAAATCTGATATCGCCTGGACATATGGAAGTAGTTTCGAAAGTGTTTATTATGATTGTACATAAAGTACTAAATTATTAATTGGTACTATATTCGGTATTTGATGAAGGAATAGAGATACAATTTTGAAATTTGATATTTAGATAACTGATAGTATCTGTGTTTGAGATTCGGCGGTGTTGATTTGGATGTGAGTCCTAGATATAAAGGTCTCTGTTAATACCTATAATTGATATGTGGAGGTGGAGTTATTAAATTGGGTGTTTAGATCTGGTGGTGGCGTTGAAAATGTGTACTTTAATTGTTCAAAAAGTACTAAGTGGTACTAAATTGGGTATTGGGTGAAGGGATATAGCTGATAGTACCTGGGCTTACGACAAGGAAATGTTTTCGGAAATACGTACAATAATTGCACGAAAAGTACCAAGTAGTACTAAATTTTGTATTGGGAGAAGGGATGGAGCTGAAATCTCGAATTTTGATATTGAGGTCTCTGTTTGTATCTTGGATTGACATATGGAGGTGGTTTTGGAAATGTGAATTAAAATTAGTCTAATCTAATCTTCTTTTTGATATTGAACGGGTATGTGGCAAACTAATATGCATCTAAATCCCTGTTCACATTACAGTACATTTAGCAACACTTTTTACAGCACAGTGAAATAAAAGTAAATGTATAGGCATGGCTGGACATTGTCTGGTAATAATTATCCAAAGCTGTATCCATTTCGTGTTGTTTATCTTTTCACAGCAACATCGTCATAATCGAAATGTTAACATCATAATTATTCGATATTTGAAGAGCATCCGAAATCAGTCTTCACGACATGACTAGCTGGCAGTGAGCAAACAACATTTATGTTGTTCGCAATTGTTTGCTGACAAACTGAATTGGTCATCAAATGTAAGGTGGTGTGTATTTCTTATTCACTGAGCAATAGCTTGATTTTCGATTTGTTTCGATCTAATGAAAAAAGCTCTTCAAACAAGTACTTAGGTGTGCGTGCCTGAGCAGAGAATATGTACGTACATGTAAATATGTATTTACATTTACAAGTGTTAAACGTGCTATGCATTATTTTAGCGTTATGTTTTCATTTGCCGCTTATGTTGTGTGTTGTTGCCAAAGCCATAATCTGGACTAAAAGACGAAGAAATGCTTTTACTTGTTGCCATTGTCCATCATTGATGAAATCAGCTAAGCAATTGTACAACAAGTGCGTGTTGTTTATTGATTTTTTGTTTGTTAATAGTAGTAATGCTTGCTAACGAACGAAACATTGTTGCAGCAACATTTCTTGGCTGTCTATTATTCGCGATACATTGTTGTAGTCAATAATGTAATGTCAAACAATGTTTGTAGTTTAAGCAGCGTTCGAAAATAAACAGTACACTAACATAGTGTACTGTACCGGTACAGTATCACTAAAAAATTTTTTAGCGGTAGTGTACCGGTACACTACCACTAAAAAATATTTTAGTGATACTGTACCGGAACACAACGATAATCGTACTGTACCGCAGTCGGAGCACTAAAAAATCGTAGTGTACCGCAGTCGGAGCACTAAAAAATCGTAGTGTTCCGGAGTCGGAGCACTAAAAAACGTAGTGTTCCGCAATCGGAGCACTAAAAAATCGTAGTGTACCACATTAAAAAAATGTACTGGCATCAATACGCTTTTTTATGATTTGGGAAAATAATATTAAAGGTTTGATTTTTTAGTATGTAGCATTGCGAATGAATAAAATGATTATAATAAAAGAAATTAAAGATTATCCAACCTTGCAAAATTACACAAAATTCGATATTAGTATCACTCTTTGTATAAGTGGAAATTAAAGAACAAATAAAACAACGTACTGTCATATGTCAATGAAACATACTTAATACTGATTTATTTATAAGTATTTAATTGTTATTACATAAATGTATTTTTTAATAAAAATTGAAGTAATTAAACAAGTTAAATATATTAAACATAATATAAATAGAAAGTAAAAAAGGAAATGTAATAAACTAAAAATATAAGTACACCAGTAAGAACATTAATCTGATCCCAATTGGTAATTAAAAATCCCATTGGCTTTTACCATTAATATATGCTCCAAATTTAACGGTGACAATCGATTGCGCTGATCGGATAACATATATTTCATAGCTGAAAATAAGCGTTCCACGCTTACTTGTGTTGATGGTATTGCCAGTAAAATATTCGCAATGCCACTAATAATGTTTGAAGAGTCCCAATATTGTAAAACATTTGCATTTAGTGGCAATCTAGATTTTCTTTCATAAGTGGATAGATCGGATTCAAAATTATCAATATTTGAAGAACTCTGTGTAGGCGTGGTAGGATCTAAAGTTTGCAGGTAATCGGAAAAGGATTTCGGTGTGCATGCATTACTTGTTGATGGAGTTTCATCCAGTATTGTGCAGGCCGTATTGTCTGTTGTAGAATCTGAAGAAATAAGGGTAATAGTTAAAAACATATGTATGTATTTTTGGTATTAATATAGCAAACGTACCTTCTTTTGAGTATATTCGCTTATATAACGACACTATGTACATCTGCGCTCTAGTTTTCTGTTCGCATGTCATACAGACTTTAATACGTGGATCCAAATACACGGCTGCGTTGAAAAGTTCGTTATCAAAAAGTTTATCCATTCTTGTCTTCAATGATTCTTTCAGTATCACTTTCATTTCGGTATTTGGTAAAGCATCTATTTGGAATGTAATATCCATTATTACAACATATAGTTCGCTATAACACAGCTGTTCAGTTTGTAGTTTCATTGTAGCTGTGTAAATAGGTTTAAATATTCCAACAAATTCACTTGCGAAAGACCAGTCAGCAGAACTAATGAATAATTTCGAATTATCCTTGCTTAATGTAGTTACAACTTCTCTTATTTCCAGCAGTCTTTCAATCATATTGTATGTTGAATTCCATCTTGTTATACAGTCAATTATAGGTTTCTTGTGGAGCCCATTTTTATTAAAAATACTCATATACGTTTTACTTCGAAGTTTTTTCACTACGAGTCTTAGGTTTTCAGTTTTTTCTTTTATTGTAGGCTGTTTTAGGACATCATTTACACACAGCTGCAGCGTATGGGCACCACAACGAATGTTAGTAATATGGTGTGAGGATATATTAAAGTCGATTGACTCAATTTCATAAATCGATATTTCACAATCAACTTCTTCTTCGCTATCCTGAGATTCCTCTTCCATAAGCATTTGTAACTCCGAATTCAGCACTTTTACCGTTTTTAACATGTTAGATCCATTGTCGGTTGTAATGGTAAAAATGTTGCGTACATCAACACCATATTCTCTTAGAACTTCCAATATAATAGATTTTATATATTCACCGGTATGACTTGATTTCAGCTCTTTTACTGCCAATGTTTTAACAATGATTTTACCATTTTTGATGTATTGAACATTTATACCGAGCATGCTCAAATCCCACCTGGTTGCTACATCAATCTTAAGAGAAAACAATGTCCCTTTTAAATCATTAGATATTTCCGTTTTAATATTTGTGGAAAATGCGATAATTCGCTCCATTATATTATGCTCATTGACTGTTATTCCGAGCAAACTTAAAACTGGTTCCATAAGAATTTTGAAGGCCCTATCTTCGGCCATATGCAGAGGACGTCCATTTTTGGTGAATAGTTCCACTATTGCTAGTTCGATGTTCCTCGGATTTACATTTCTTCGCAGTAATACTTCGTTAACACAGTTTTGTAATTTCATTGCACGTTTTTGTTCAATATAGTTTGCATATTGCTCAGGATGTGATCTCTTTAAGTGTCTTTCTATATTTCCGGAATGTACACTTAAAATCTTGTTCTTACAATTTTGCAAATTACACACAACTTCGTTTGATTCATTTGTATTGAACATATCTAAAAGAATAATATTTTTAGGTCGCGGCATTTTTGTAATTATTTGCTGAACGTTTGAGAAGAACTAAACAGCAGGATAACGGCTTTTTTGCATATATTGTAACAAATATTGTTCTTAATAATAAAAGACTACCTACCTACTCCGTTGCGAAATTGTGGCAAACTATATTCTGGATATCAGCACATATTTTGATGTGGTACCTGTACAATGTTTGGTTTTATTTAAGGCTAAATCATAAAACTGATTTTAAACCCTCAGCCATACTTTAAAAAATATTTAATTTTTTACACCTACATTCACGGATTATTCGCTACCACAAAGTAACAGGTACATAATCTGCATAAAAACCATTCATTGATTTCATTTAGCGGCCCACCTAAGATAATAAAACAAACTTGACCTTTTACCAAAATATACAATTTTATGGCACTAACTTTTATTACCCATATTCTTGCATTCATTCGTAGAATTTTTGTTTTTAAATGAATTAACCTTTTTACTGGTTCATATATAACGCAATAGGCCGAATTTCAGGCGTATCCATAAATACTTGTGGCAACCACTAAAATACCCTTTTTCACGGAGAATTTAAATTTTCAATTTAATTTTCCTTTTTATCCTTTCTACCTAATCTCATATTTTTATACTTTCTTCAATTTCGCAAAGAAAATAAATCCAGCAATTATTTTCATAATATTGAATTGTATTATTTATATTTACATTATAAAAAACATCAAACATTCAATTTTTCCCAAATCGTAAACAACACACATGTGGTACACTACCGGTACATTATTTTTTTAATGTTCCGCAATGTGGTACACTACGATTTTGTAGTGCTCCGACTGCGGAACACTACGATTTTGTAGTGCTCCGACTGCGGAACACTACGTTTTTTAGTGCTCCGACTGCGGTACAGTACGATTATCGTTGTGCTCCGGTACAGTATCACTAAAATATTTTTTAAGGGTTGTGTTCCGGTACGGTACACTATCGTAGTGTACCACTCCACCTCGGTACGGTACAGAACACTATGGTACTGTACCATAATGTTTATTTTCGAACGCTGAGTTTAAGTCTTTTGTTTTTAACAATGCATGGCTAGTTAGGCAAGGTGGCAAGGTAATGTGTTGCCTGCCATTCATGTGAAGTCAAATCATGAACTCTGGTGTTTGAACATTCGTTCCGTAAAATTGGAAGATGATCCAAGACATTGTTGCATTGTTGTTGGGTAAGCTAGGAAGAAAAAAAAAAACAATAATGTGTACAGGGTTGTCCATATTCGACGGACCCATCTGGCAACGCCGTAACTTTTGACAGAGATGTCACATCGCTTTATGACATACTGCGTTTGAAGCGTCAGTCCAAGCAGATTTTTACCATGAACCAATACACGCGCTCTGAAATAGTTGAAATTTACATTTACAACAGAAGAACATTCAATTGTGAAAACTCAACGTGCTTTTAAAACATTAAAAAATGTGAGAAGTGCGCCTTCTAAGAACACCATTAAGCGTTTATACGAAAAACTTGCGACTGGTAAGGCTCTTTCTAATCCGAAGAGGCCATATAAAAGTCGACCCAGGCGATCGGTCGAGAATATCGATGCCGTACGAGCCAGTGTTGAAAGGTCCCCAAGAACATCCCAAAAACGCCGTTCTCTGGCTCGGTCCACTTTACAACGGATTATTCGCATTGATTTGCATTTGTTCCCGTACACAATTCAATTGACGCAAAGAATGTTTCCTGCGGACAAGCCTCGTCGATTGGAATGGTCCCAAAGGTCCGTCGAATATGGGCAACCTGTAGGTTGTTTGTCTTCTTTTAGTTGGGTCCCCAAGCAATGTGTATTTCTAATATATCTGCGGTATTTTGGCCCATTCCCGGCGAAACGCTTGCTTGAGGTGATCGACACTTTGGTATTTTTTAGAGCCAACCTCGCTTTCCAAAATACTGCAGACACAAGAGTGCAACGGATTGGTATTCGGAGATTTTGGTGGCTATTGTGCGCTGGAAATGAAGTGAGGAACCTCATTTTGTAGACATTCTAGGGTGGCGCGTGCTGAGTGCGATGGTGCTGAGTCCTGTTGGAATGTCCAAGGTCTGCTGCCACAATGTTTGCGTGCCTAAGGATTTAATACACCCTCCAGAATATTTTCGCGATAATATTCGGCCTTTATTCTGACGCCACGGTCGATTAATACGAGCGGAGAGCGAACATCGGCGGTTTCGGCGGCCCACACCATCACCATTGCCGTCGCTTGAGTTTTGGTGGCTAACCGAAGGTGCAAATTTTCAGCTGACCTCTTTGGCAAGTTTTGTTGGTTTACAAACTACAGGACAACGAATGTTTTCTCATCAGAGATCGGAGAAAAACAAATTCGGCAGTTCACCACTTTCGGCCAAGGGAAGCAACTCTTTAGTTCTCTTGAGTCTCTTTTCTTTCTGTTGCGGTGTAAGTTCTGGCACTTTTTGGAATTTCAATGGCTTTACCCCGAGCTCATTTTTCAATATTTGCCGAATGGAATATTGCGATATGTGTAGTCCACGAGCCATTTTTCGGCCACTGCGACGCGGGTTTCGATCAAGTCGCTTTTTTACTTTCGAACGATTTCTGTTGATGTTGCGGTTTTCTTGCGTCCACTTCCTTGACGTCAGGCTACGCTAGCAGTATCACGGGTACGATGGTACGAGACACAAAAGATTGCTCCAACAATAGTCACTTGTGGTTTTTCAGACAAATATAAATAAACCACACTATCACGCTTGAATTCCATCACGAATAATTTTTTTTGTGGAAAATTCTCACCAAAATGCTTTTGTACGCTTGTAAACAATATGAAGAGCTGTCACTGGAATTATTTTAAAAGCTGTCGGACAAGTGGCTTACAAATGACAGCAGTCTGAAATTGGTTGCAGTTTTTTCATCTAACCCTGTATAGGACGCATTCCCAAACCACCTCTAAGACAAAATGTTATCTCTATCCAGTACCAAATATAGTGCCATTCAGCATTTTCGTACAATTATAGTACACACTTCCAAATCCACCCCCATCAGGGCTGTCACAGAAACCTTGTCGGTTTTGCTTATATTGTCGTTTTTGTAAACCAATGATGGTTTCATTTGGTGTCATGAAACCAAGTTGGTTTTGTCAATTTCGAATGTAAATAAAACCAATGTTCGAAACAGCTGTTGTTGCTTACATGTGTTGTTTGTTTATTTGTCATTGAAATATCAGTAAAAGTAAAGTAAATAAAAAAGGGATAAGTCGCTATAAATAAAGTAAGATCGCATCAGCAGTGGTATTTTTTGTGTTGTTGGACGAAGAACGCTCAGAAAAGGTGACGAGAAAAGCTCTTAGAGATTTCAGCAACCCACTGGAGTTGCCGGAGATAGCGTAAGTAAATTTTTTTATTGTAAACTTACTCATAAAGCTGCTTTGCAGATTTATGGTCTATGGTCTTTTAAAAAATATTTAAAAAATCCACGTTTATAGTCCTTTAAAAAATCTTTAAAAAATCCACATTTATAGTCCTTTAAAAAATCTTTAAACAATCCACGTTTATAGTCTTTTAAAAAATCCATGTTTATAGTCCTTTAAAAAATCTTTAAAAAATCCATGTTTATAGTCCTTTAAGAAATCTTTAAAAAATCCACGTTTATGGTCCTTTAAAAATTCTTTAAAAAATCCACGTTTATAGTCCTTTAAAAAATCCACGTTTATAGTCCTTTAAAAAATCCACGTTTATAGTCCTTTAAAAAATCCACGTTTATAGTCCTTTAAAAAATCCACGTTTATAGTCCTTTAAAAAATCCACGTTTATAGTCCTTTAAAAAATCCACGTTTATAGTCCTTTCAAAAATCTCTAAAAAATCCATGTTTATAGTCCTTTAAAAAATCTTTAAAAAATCCACGTTTATGGTCCTTTAAAAAATCCACGTTTATAGTCCTTTCAAAAATTTTTAAAATATCCACGTTTATGGTCCTTTTAATATCCTTTAAAAATTCGTTGAAAAATCCACGTTGGTGGTCCTTTAAATATTCTTTAAAAAATCCACGTTTATAGTCCTTTAAAAATTCTTTAAAAAATCCACGTTTATAGTCCTTTAAAAATTCTTTAAAAAATCCACGTTCATAGTCCTTTAAAAATTCTTTAAAAAATCCACGTTTATAGTCCTTTAAAAATTCTTTAAAAAATCCACGTTTATAGTCCTTTAAAAATTCTTTAAAAAATCCACGTTTATTGCCCTTTAAATGTCCTTTAAAAATTCTTTAAAAAATCCAAGTTTCTAGTACTTTAAAAATTGTTTAAATATCCACATTTTTAGTCCTTTGAATATCCTTTAAAGATTGTTTAAAAAATCCACATTTTTAGTCCTTTGAATATCCTTTAAAAATTGTTTAAAAAATCCACATTTTCAGTCCTTTGAATATCCTTTAAAAATTGTTTAAAAAATCCACATTTTTAGTCCTTTGAATATCCTTTAAAAATTGTTTGAAAATCTTTTAAAAATTGTTTAAAAAATCCACATTTTTAATACTTTGAATATCCTTTAAAGATTGTTTAAAAAATCCACATTTTTAGTCCTTTGAATATCCTTTAAAAATTGTTTAAAAAATCCACATTTTCAGTCCTTTGAATATCCTTTAAAAATTGTTTAAAAAATCCACATTTTTAGTCCTTTGAATATCCTTTAAAAATTGTTTAAAAAATCCACATTTTTTGTCCTTTGAATATCCTTTAAAAATTGTTCAAAAAATCCAAAGCAAATGAAAAGTGACAGCTCTAAGCAACTTGGTTTTTTTCAATAACAAAACCAATAACATTACCTTCTATGACAACCAAAACCGATAAAACTCTAATTCGAAAATAAAACAGATAACATTGATTTTCATGACACCAAAGCATTTTTTCTTGTCGTTTTTAAAACCAATAGTGACAAAATTGGTCTCTATGACAGCCCAGCCCTCTAGCGATCCATGAACAGCGACCCTGTCTCTATTCACATAATTCCAAATGGTAAAATT